AGCAAGTTGCTGGAAGACTGCTCAGGTAAGCCTGCCCTTTCCCACACATGGTGCTCTATAATGTATTGCTGGGATTTGTTGTATGTCTATATAGCTGGTGGTATTCTGCATTGCGCTGTATAATGTATTGCTGGGATTTGTTGTATGTCTATATAGCTGGTGGTATTCTGCATTGCGCTGTATAATGTATTGCTGGGATTTGTTGTATTTCTATATAGCTGGTGGTATTCGGCATTGCACTGTATAGAAGACTACAAATCCCAGCAATACATTATACAGCGCAATGCAGAATACCACCAGCTATAGAGGAGTACAACAAATCTCAGCAATAATAATACATTATACAGAATACCACTAACTATAATGTACTATTGCTGGGTTTTGTAGTCCTCTATAGCCGGTGCCATTCTGCATTCATTGCTGTATAATTTTACACTTTTCATTTCACTATATTGCACACCACACTTTTTTTTTTCTTTTTTACTTCCACCGCTCCAAGCTTGCTCCTGTGATGGACTACAATCTCAATACAAACTAGTAGTCCATCACTGGAGCCATTTAAAAAAATTTTTTTTATTTTTTATCCGATTTAACCGATTAATCGAACTTAATAATCGGCTAACTAATCGATTTTGAAAATAATCGTTAGCTGCAGCTCTAATGTCCATCCCTTTATGACCGAAGTGTACCCATCTTCTGATGGCTACCTGTAGCTGGATAACGCACCATGTCACAAAGCTAAAATCATCTCAAACTGGTTGCTTGAACATGATAATGAGTTAATTGAACTCAAATGGCCTTCATAGTCACCAGATCTCAATCCGATAGAGCCCCTCTAGGATGTGGTGTAATGGGAGATTTACATCATGGATGTGCAACTGACAAATCTGCAGCAACTGTGTGATACTATCATGTCAATGTCGACCAAACTCTCTAAGGAATGTTTCCAGCACCTTGTTGAATCTATGCCTTCAAGAATTAGGGCAGTTCTAGAGAAAAAAGGGGTCCAACCCGGTACTAGCAAGGTGTACCTAATAAAGTGGCCAGTGAGTGTGTGTGTGTAGATGTAATTCAAGTGAACCCACTGAAGAGCACTTGGTGATTGGCTGCTCAGACACCCAGTCTGCGATGTTGAAGGAGGGTGGGAAAAGGGTATTTTCCTTCACTCCTGGGGGCTGAACATAGCAAAAGAAGAGTGAAGAAAAAGAAAGTATATTATTTACGTTATTCTGTAGAGTCTGTATGGGCAAAGCACTGGTTCACTATAAGGAAACAAAAACACTATTACATGCATTTTACAGTTTCTGATCACTATTATTGTTGCTAAAGAAAACATAATATGTTTTAAATCTGTTAGCTTGCCTTGAACTTATACATTTCTAACAAATTCCTGTTTATATATTTTTGTGTCAAAATACCGTATTTGCCGGCGTATAAGACGACCCCCTACTTTTTGTGTTAAAATATAGGTTTTGGGCTATACTCGTCTTATAAGACGAGTATAGCCCAAAATAATGTTTAAATGCACCCACTAACATCCATGGCGGTATTCCCGAGTGTGGCTCGGGGTTAATTTTCAGTACCATAAGCGGTAACCCCGAGCCACAATCGGGTTTCAGTCTCTGAGCCAATCACGGCAGGCTTTGTATTAATGAAAAACAAGAGGTAACAGAGCGCCACCTCCGTGTGTAAAATCGTTTATTACAATAAATAAAACAAGGGATAAAAGTACTCACAAACAAACATTTTCATCAGGCTTTAACAACAAACGAGAGGCCACACTGTCTGTTAACCCAACATGGGTTTTGATTCTGATGAAAGGCGCGTCAATCTTGGCTGACTGCGGTCGGTGGACGGTGATGTGACCGGAGACTACCGTGTTACATAGTCGGGGGGATGGTGGAAGCCCCAGAGCCTTGGATGAGCAGCCCCTCAAGTCTGTGTGAAAAACTGTGATAAACTGTTGAAAACTTTGAGTGTGCAACAGCAAGTGGATTGTTCAGCTGGCAGCTATTAGTGCCAAGAGCTAAAGAAAACTTTTTTTGTCTGATTTGTATTAATGAATACAGGCGTTGTATTCATTAATACAAAGCCTGCCGTAATTGGCTCAGCGCGGTATACTGTGTATGTAGCCGAAGCTACATACAGTATACCATATCCTTCTGTATGTACCCGGCATATAAGACGACCCCCGATTTTTGGGGGATGTTTTAAGGTTTCAAAACCCGTCTTATACGCTGGCAAATACGGTATTTGTGGTGTAAAATCCTTATTTTTCACCCATAATTAAACAATCTGAAAGATTGATTGTGATGAGCAAATATTTCTCTTTCCCTGCAGATGCATGCAGATTTGCCCAGTCTGCAGAGAATGATGACATTAATATATGTACAGTGATGAAACAGTGATTCTCTTGATTTGATTATCCCTAAAGCTGGACCACTATGCTTGAAAGCGATCACTTGTGAGAATGCACATGCACCAATCTCATTTGCAACTGATGTGTATGTGTAGAAAAAAAGGTGGTTGTTTCGCTTCTGGAGATTCAATAGCTCCAGTCTTTTACCCTTAAAGTTCGGTTTGTCTTACCATATCATTAACCAATATAGAAGTACATCAAACAAAAAGGATTCGGGCCGCCTATTTAGTATAGGCAGTCCAAGGGTTAATTTACTGACCGGGACAGACCATAAGTGTTAAAGTTATTTGAAACATAATTTATTCAAGTATCAAAACAAAAGAAAAACAAACATGGCCAATCTCTTTTTATCGACCAGTTAAAAACAGAGTAGAAAAAACCCAGAGCTGACTGTTGCTTTCGTGGCCTTTGTTAGGACTATCTATCCCCTTTTATATTGTAAAGCTGGCCATACACCTTACAATTATCTGCACATTTTCTGTGGTCAGATGGAAAAGGTGCAACAGATTCCTCCATCTACACTTAACTGTGTGGATGGAGAAATCTCCTCCTGGGCCAATTTGTTTCACTTTTTCCATCTGACCACAGAAAATCTGCAGATAATTGTGAGGTGTATGGGCACTTTAACACCTCCGTCAAGGCTTATGGCAGTTTCCCAGTTAAGTATAGCAGTTATTTAGTACATTGGATGTCCTTTCCGTATATAATTAACTCGGCCCGTTTATTGCGGGTGGATTGTTCTAGTTTTGATACTTTGTTTTTCTCGTGTTGGTTCTTTTTGGTAACATATAGTTTATCAACCTGTTAGTTTCCAGGGTATTTATATCCGTATATCACAGGGTATTAGGTTTTTCCTTTGCTTATTTTTAGTTGTATTATCCTCCTGTAGTTTAGGTTTTGCTTCTAATCGTTCCACTTAGGATGTTGGAAGTAAGCTATTTCCTTGCGGGATATCAGCGATAGATGGGAAGTGCCATGAGCCCTAAGTTAAGACCTTTAACACGGTGTATCTTCTCTGTTAGGGGTTAGTCCAGGCATTGCATGTGCGGCGTCTTGATACTTGATACTTGAATAAATTATGTTTCAAATAACTTCAACACTTATGGTCTGTCCCGGTCAGTAAATTAACCCTTGGACTGGCTATACTAAATAGGCGGCCCGAATCCTTTTTGTTTGATGTATGTGTATTGATGGCAGAGCTGAGCAAGACCTCACCAACGTGCCCTGCCACAGAATTTCATATCTTACCGCGTATATGAACTTTTGCAATCAAATTTGAGAAACCTTTCAAAATTTCAAAACCGAAACCAAAAATGTTTTTTATTTTAACTTTTTAAAAATGTTTAATTTATTTTTTTATATATATATATTTTTTATTCATTATAAATATTTTATTTTTTACTTTAAGGGGCTTCAGGGAAATATTGGGGGTCTAAACAGATACCTGATATTTCCCTTTTAAAATAGAAAAAGAGATTGAGGACACAGAGTCCCATGATATAAATGAACAGGAATCCACTTTACTGAGTGTTCCTGTTCATTCATAACATGAGGACATAGTATGTTTGCTATATCCACAATCATGAATGAACAGGAGGTGATGTAGGTCACAATTCATAATTGAGGATATAGTAAACATACTATGTCCTCAATTATTTACAAACACTCAGCGATCACTGATCGCTGAGTGTTTGTACCACTCTCCTTCCTGACACGCTGAGTGAGTGGAGCTCAGCCTGCTGTGACAGAGCTGGCTTTCTCTGCCCCCACACCGCTCTCCCGATCTGTGACAGGAGGCTGAGCGGTGCCGGGGAGGAGAGACGTCGGCCGCTCACAGCATTCTTCTCCCACAGCGCTCGGCCGCCTGTGACAGTTTCTCTCCTCCCCGCTGGGACACAGAGCAGCGCCTAGTGGGGAGGAGAGAAAGAATTTATGCACCGCTATATCGGCCAGAAAATGGCACTTTCGGCATTTTGCCAAAAGTGCCATTTTTGGCGATATGTTTCGGCGGACGATATATCGGTGCATCCCTAACATGTTTGTTATGTGTTCCCATTCACACAGCAAATCTAAGCTTTTTTTTCAGATAATTCTTACCTTTTCAGTTGAAGCAGGTTTATACATATGACTTTACAGGAAGCTTATATTTCTTAAAATAAATGGCATTGTGGAGATAAGAGATAAACTACAAGGCATATTTTTTTTTTTTATTACCAGGCAGTGTACCACCTAAGCCTTAAGATCTTTAACTTTTTGTTAGGGCAGACAGTGTTTAAATATTGTTTGCAACTGATAATTATATCTGCCAGCACAGTACAGACAGTGGTAATTATGGCAAACATTACTCCCCAGCCCCCTCCTTAATATAACATACAAAGAGAAAGCTAAATAATATTTTTGGGAAGTGGAACATGTAACAATATAAAATAGGTGTTATTCCAATTTAGCTGCAAAAGTGGAAATACACTTTAGGCAGGACCAATAATTATTAAGGCTGTTTTGAGAATAGATTCAATTGTTTACTTATTAATGCTTTTGTGTTTCCTCAGATCTGGTTATAGAAAGCTTAAAGGCAGCTCACCTTGCACCCTGAGAAGCAAAATGTCTCAACCTGTTTTATGGATACCCTTAATAGTTTTCCTGTTCCATCTGGCTTGTGGTATTGAAGTTCCCTTGGACCGTAAGTTCCAGAGAATATTACATGTAAAGATGCTAATGCTCATGCTAGATTCACATATTTTATTTTGTTTGGGTTGTTATTTTAACTATTAATTTGAACATTTTAATTAATATCTAGATTCAGTTGACTCTATACAATTCATCTAAGGTTAAACACTCTAGGGGGAGAATGTTTGGGGGAGTCAATGATTGAGAAAGATCTGTGTGTACTGGTAGATCATAGACTCAATAATAGCATGCAATGTCAAGCCGCAGTTTCTAAAGCAAGCAACATACTTTCTTGTATTAAAAGGGGTGTAGACTCCAGAGATAGAGACATCATCCTGCCCCTGTACAAAGCATTAGTAAGACCACATCTGGAATATGCAGTTCAGTTTTGGGCACCAGCTCACAAAAAGGATGTTGTGGAACTGGAGAGAGTTCAACGAAGGGCGCACAAACTCATAAGAGGCTCAGCTATGAGGAGAGATAACCTGACCTGAATATGTTCTCTCTGGAGAAGAGGCGATTAAGGGAGGACATGATCACTATGTATAAATACATAAATAGTCCATATAGTGAACTTGGTGCCAAATTATTCACTTTAAGGTTACTGCAAAGGACAAGGGGGCATGCTTTGCCTCTGGAGGAAAAGAGGTTTAACCTTTGCATACGGAAAGGATTCTTCACAGTCAGAGCTGTGAAAGTGTGGAATAGACTCCCCCAGGAGCTAGTTCTAGCTAGCTCAGTTAATTGTTTAAAAAAAAATCTGGATGTGTTCCTAAATGCACCGAATATTACTGGATCTTGAGTTATTATAGGTATATTAAGCATCAGAGATTGTTGATCCAGGGAATATCCGATTGCCTTGTGGGATCAGGAAGGAATTTTTTCCCCCTGTTGGAGTAAATTGAACCATGCCGGCCGGCCGTAAAAAAAAACGGATGGCCGGGAGCTTCCTGGATGTAACAGGCCGTCGAAAGACGGCCTGTTAACGGCGCACATGTGCAGGAAACTACCTGGATTTAAAAACAGGCAACAATGCCTGTTAACATACAAGCGATCCGCCGGCTATAGAGCTGGCGGATCGCTTGTAAAACGTGCCGGTATGTGCGTCCCCTCCGCGGCCCTCCCTCCCGCTGGTCCCGAGCTCTGCTGAGCCCAGGCTCTGTGACAGGGGATCAGAGGGAGATCGGTACATGATCTCCCTCCGTTCCCCTCTCCGGTGTCAGAATGCGGAAGTGATGTATATTACATCACTTCCACATTCTTGTGTCACTCTCCAGCTTCAGAAGCTGGAAACTTGAAGATGCAGATCTCTGTTTCATTAGCTTCTTTGGGGTGACATTAGGGGTCTCCATAAAGAGGACCGGTCACATCTCTTTATTGTTATCACATAGGGGGGCTAAGAAACCCCCCTATGTGATATTAAAGTTAAGTGGAAAAAAAATAGGAAAAAAAATGAAAGTTGCAAAAAAAAAAAAAAAAATTAAAGATACATGAAAAAGAATTTTAAAAAATACAAAAGTCCTTCAATAGCTTATTTGGAGTGTAAAGTTGACACTGGGGGTCTTTTGGACCCCCAGCATCACCTTAAAGAGTACCTGTCCCCACCATCTGCTATCACATGGGGGGCTTGTAAGCCCCCCTATGTGATAGCAATTAAAGTCAAGTAAAAAAAAATAACAAAATGAACATTAAATAAAATAAATCTAAAAATCATTTTTTTTTAAATGTAAAGTTCCTTGCCCCCGCGAGCATGCGCGTCGGGTGCGCCTACGTATGAAAGCGACGAATGCGCCACACATGTTGGGTATCGCCGCACACGCCGGAGTGAGAGCAATAATTTTAGGGCATCTCTAAACTGATGACCTGTGGGGGCTTTTAAAGCGTTGTCTTTGGACTTTTTGGGGTACTGAATTTTGCCGCCGTTTCACGGACGCACACAATTTTTAACCTGGGCGTGTTGGGTATCTATTTACTCATTGTAACCTCATCTTTTATATTTTATTAAAACAATGGGTATGTAATTGTGTTTTGGGACATTTTTCACAATCTATTGGAGTTTTATAAGGAGTTGCGCTAATATCGTGCAACATAAAAATTTGCAACTGCCACCTTTTTTTTTCTATAGGGTCTTGGCTTTCAGACAATATATAATGTTTGGGGGTTTTAAGTAATTTTCAGGCCTAAAATGTGGAATATAACATGGGTGCAAAAAAATTGAAAAAAAAGGCCTCAGTCATGAAGGGGTTAAATCAATCCCAGAATGCCAGTGTGTTGTAGCTGTTGTAGAGAGAGCTGACAATCTGTAGGTAGAGAATAATCTCTTGCTTAACTGTGCTATAGTTCTCTAAATTGCAGTGATGGACTACATTATTGCTCTCCCTGTGTTCACAGTTCTTAATTTAACCCTTACACACCTTATTAGGACTAATATCTGTCTCAGCCACAAATGTTATTGTTTGCTAGCTGTTGGTGCCCCTTTTCCTTTTTGTTTTCTCATTATTGGGTTTTTGTTTTCTTTAACTTTAGTGTGTGCCTAATTTAAGGGCAGTAGTACCCTTTTGGGGCTGCCCCAGTAGCAAAAGCTGCTTTCTTCTAATATTTTTTTTTTTTTTTTTTCTGCTACCAGATTTAAATTTGCCTTGGTGATATGTTGGGTTTCATTTTGTGTTGATATGTGTTAATTTACTTGTTTCTGAACTGCTTTTTGATCTGCCTTTTCTGCGCAGCATAGCACCTTACTTCCCTATCCCAAGTAAAAATAAAATGTAGGCATCGACCTTACCAAAATAAAAATGACAGGCAAACTTAAAAGCAGATGCAACAGTGCTGCACATGAAGATAGTTGGGGGCAAGCAGGTCCTTCAGGACAAAGAAGTGGTAGGGCCACACACAGTAGAGGCAAGGCACAACTCAAAGTCTGTATCATTTTATCTCCTTTTTCTGTCAGTTTTTTTCACCAGTTTTCTGCCAGAATTGCTGATGCACTCTCTTCCCGTGTTAATAGCATCAAATTGGCTATGAGGATGATCTATTTGAGCATTCCATTTCAAACTTACCACAGGAGAAAGATTACAACAATGCACATTCCTTCTGTGCTCTTAGGAGGACTGGTATTTGCAAATGGAGTAAGACCCTACATGACCCTAGACTCATTTCAGATTGGTTTTTTACTATTTTTTTATTTTATTTTCATTATTTATTTTAATTTTTTTTAAATTTTCGTAAATTTTTTATTTTTTAACTCTTGGGGGGGCTTTGAGGAAATATTAGGGATCTAAAAAGCCCCCTGATATTTCCCTTTTAAAATAGAAAAAGAAATTGAGGACACAGTCCTCAATCTTTTTTTCTGCAGCCTCTATTCTAAATGAATGGAAAGCACAGAGGCTTCCCATTCATTCAGAAAATATTTACTATCCAGCAGTTTCTGAATGGGGAGGAGCCTCTGTACAGAGTGCTTCTCCCCATTGACAATGTAATTGTCAATGGGGAGAATGTAAATCACATCCTGTTCATTCATTTATAACTGGGGACACATATTACTATGTGTCCCCAGTTATTTACAAACACTGGAGTGATCAGACGATCGCTCCAGTGTTTGTCCTGCACAGAGGATTGGTACATACTACTGACATGTACCGATCCTCTGCCGCTCGGCCACGCACAAATGGGCTCAGCTTCTCCTCTGCATCCCCCCTGCTCTCCCGGGCAGAGGCAGCGGGGGATCCGACGAGAAGTGAAAGCACTCGGAGCCGCTGTGACAGAACGGACGAGCAGTGAGGGGAGAGAGAGGCGCCGGCTGTCAGATCCTTGCCGAGCGTCTCTCCAGAGAAGCGGCGCGGAGAGGACATGGCGATCTACCAGCGATCGCTACGCGACCGACTGGTAAATCGCGATCGACCTTGTGGGCACCCCTGGTTTAGGGTCATGAGTGGCATGCCCCAGGGTTTTGTGCTAGGCCCCATACTATTCAACCTGTTTAGTAACGATATCATGGAGGGCGTGAATAGCCATGTTTCCATGTTTGCTGATACTAAAATTGGGAGGGTAATAGACATGGACATAGACACTATAACATTACAGGAGGACCTGGATAAAATAGGGGAGTGGGCAACTATATGGCAGATGAGGTTCAACCGCTTGGCGTCCGCCCGTTGTGAAAAATGGACAGCACACGGGCAAGAAAAAACCCGTCTGTTGTACACAGCCGCTACCGGCTGTTTGACATACAATCGGCGGCTCTATAGCCTGCCGATCACTTGTATGTGCTGGCTGCGCGCTCCCCCTCCTCGAGTGCTGCCGCCGCACCAGATCTCTGCTTCATCAGCTTCTTTGGGGGTCCACAGGTGGATTGTTATCTAGTTACGCCTCTGCTGTGTAGTGCTGACTTTCATTATAATGTATTGCTGGGACTTGTAGTATGATAATTATACAGCAATGCAGAAAAGCCCCACAGAGAGCCCATATAAAACACCTGAAAGCCTTATAGACCACCCGAGAGCCACACTGCCCCCCTGAGAGTCCAAACAGACCACCTGAGAGCCCACCTGAAAACCCTTATAGCCCCCCAGAGAGCCACACAGCCCCCCAGAGAGCCCATACATACCACCAGAGGGACCACAGAGCCCACCCAAAAGCCATAATAGACCGTCTGAGAGCTGCACAGCTCCCCTGAGAGCCTGTACAGACCACCAGAAACCCCACAGAGCCCACTTGAGAGCCGCACAGCCCCCTGAGAGCCCGTACAGACCACTTCAGAACTGCAGAGCCCCCCTGAGAGTATTCAGGTCTAATTGAAGGGTTGGCACTTTGAGATACATAAGTTGGTTTAGTGATCCAGTTTGGGCACTCCGGCTCAAAAAGGTTCGCCATCACTGCCCTATGTGATAGCAATAACATTAAGTGTAAAAAAATTTTTTAAAAGTGAAAAAATAATGAAAAAAATGTCTAAGTCCCCCAACCCCACGTTTACCCACATATAAACGTAAATACGCGTCAGATGCGGCAGCGCGCAAAAATTACAATTGCGCTACATATGTTACATATCGCCGCAAACATCGGAGTGTGAGCAATAATTTTAGGACCATCAATCACTGATAACACTAAACTGATGAGCGCTAAAAGCTTTTAAAGCGTCGCCTATGGCCAATTTTGGGTATTGTAGTTTTTTGAGGTTTCGCACGCGCGCGCAATTTTAAGACTTGACATGTTTGGTGTTTTTTATCTGACGTGACCCCACGTTTTATATTTTGCCAAAAAATTGGGTAATAATAAATGTTTTATAAATGAATATAGGGGAAACTTGTTTAAAAAAAAAAAATTCGGTAATTTTTCCTTAATATAGTAAAAAATAAAAACCCCAGTGATGATTAAATACCACCAAAAGAAAGCTCTATCAAAAATGGTATAAAATTAATTTCAGTACAGCGTTGCATGACAGAATAAATGTCAGTCAAAATACTGCAGCTCTGAATACTGAAAGATGGCCTGGACGGGAAGGGGATTTAACACCGTGGATTTCAAGTGGTTAATGTTGAAAAATGTAAAGTAATACAGTTTGGGGTTAAAAATAGGCAAGAGGAATACACAATAATGGGTACTCTACTAGGAAAGTCAGAAATGGAAAAGGATCTGGGGGTCATTGTAGACCACAGATTGAATAGTAGCTTGCAATGCCAGGCTGCGGCAAACAAAGCGAGCAGAGTACTGTCTTGTATTAAAAAGGAATGTACTGTAAAGACAAATCTATAATTTTGCCACTTTATAGATCACTAGTTCGGCCTCATCTGGAGTATGTTGTCCAGTTTTGGTCACCTATCCACAGAAAGGATGTCCTTGAGCTGGAAAGAGTGCAGAGAATGGCAACTAAAATAATTAAGGGGATGGAGGACCAAAGCTATGAGATAAGGTTACTAAATTTAAACTTGTTTACGCTGGAAGTAAGGAGATTAAGGGGGGACATGATTTTGATGTACAAGATGTTCAATGGCGATGGCAACATCAACAAACTTTTTACTGTAAACTCTATAACAAAGACTAGAGGCCACCACCTAAAATTGGTGGAGAAAAGATTTAACCACAAGGGGCGTAGGGGCTTCTTCTCAGAGCGGTTAGGGACTGGAACTCGCTGCCACAAGCAGTGGTATCAGCTGAGATTGTTGTAACATACAGGGGTACAGGTACCCTTAAAAACAAGATCACACAGGGACTCGTACACACGCATACACATGCAGAATCACATACATACACACAATAGGTTGAACTTGATGGACCTGTAACTTTATTCAACCTCAAAAACTATGTAACTATGTAAGACAGTGGGTTGAGCAGTGAGGGGGATAACACAGAATATCCTAAGAAAGTAATGCTCCAGGCAGGAAAAAGCAGACAGACAGTAGCAGCAAAAGGCAACAGTGTCAGCAGCTGATAATTTTTTGTGGAGGATGAGGTGGCTTCAGGGAGCGGCGCGGTAGAAGAGCAGCAAAGTGCTGGATGAGGGAGCAGGTTGATAAAGGCTAGGATTACTTCCCAGAGGACAGCAAGTAGCAGCCATCAGTTTGGTGGCACTGACACACAGGCACCAGCACATGTTATCTCCAAAGCGGGTCCGACAGTACTCTGTGGCCTGCAGCCTATGCTTGCAGTGGATAGGTCAGGAAAAGCCACTTAGGCATGACATACATGCACAACCATATGAAACTCTGCCACAGAGTTCACTGGTAGCAGCACCTAAAGGAGACAACTCAGTGGCACCAACCTCCTGCTTCTTCAATTGCTGCTTCTCCCTGCTTCAGCACATTTCTCTTGCACATCGCCAACTGCCTTTGCGCATTGAGCAAGAGGGAACAAAGGTTAATTAGAAGGCTCTTTTTGTTTGACCTCCAGCAGTGAAGAGGGTCATGGGGTCAGACAGAAAGCCGTAAAAAGAGGTTGGAACCTCAGCATTTGCCATCACCCACACAATGTGCAGTAGTAAACTTCTCATACCAGATCTCCAGTAGCAAACTTCTCACACCAGGTTTCCCTTCCCCAGGTGCTGTAGCCGAAAACAAATCCATCCCCAAACTGCCCACACGTCCACTGTTTGAATGATAGTTTGTGTATATATATAAATGTGCTGCGCTAAATGTTCTCCTAAAGAAAATGCACTGATAACACTAAACAGTGTCAGCTGCTGTGCTATAAATAAATTGATAAATCATGTGCACTGCGCTACTGCTCATAAACGTGCATAAACTTCCAAACAATGTGTACATTTTCATAAACATACATTTTCAAACATATTAATAATAATCAATATGACAATATTCAATAATAGTCCTTAGTAAATTCTTATAAAGTGCTTTTGTGCAAAGATCCTATGAAATAAAGTGCTCCCGACTCCCGATGTGTTAAGATAAGTGAGAACACACTCACCAGAGATCCATGACCATATAACTCAATGGTCAATAAACGTAATTGTGGTGAGTTTTTTTAATGCATGGGATAATCACTCTTCTGATTAAACAAATCCTCCTTTACGTATTACACGACAGGTGTCGCTCACTCAGCGAGGGGAGAAATCCAATATAGAAGAGGAATAAATGCGCCAAATGGTGTAGTACGTTACATAGTTACATAGTATTTGGGGTTGAATAAAGACATACGTCCATCAAGTCCAACCCATATAGGTCCACGCATCATCTCATTCTTAGGGATACTGGTATCCCTGGATATTACGGTCCCTCAAGAAATTGTCCAAACGTTCCTTATACAAATCTACACTCTTGGCTGAAATCACTGCCGAGGGCAGTGAGTTCCAGACCTTAACCGCTCTTACTGCAAAGAACCCTCTTCGCCCATTGTGCTGGAATTTTTTCTACAACTTTAGGTAGTGGCCTCACCAGAACCAGAAATCCACCTGCTAGTCACCTATGGTGTAATCTCAGTACGTGTTCTATCCTTTCTGGCACATTTCGTCCCTTGACCTTTTTCAGGAAAGGTTCACAGCATGTGAACCTTTCCTGGAAAAAGTCAAGGGACGAAACACGTGGATTTCTGGTTCCGGTTTGCTTAGGTGGAATTATCGATTTATCGTTTGCTTCAAGGCGATTTCATTCTGGCTATCTTGTAAGTGTGTTTTATTGTTGCAATACATTGTTTTTTACATACTTCACCATTTGGCGCATTTATTACTCTTCTATATTGGATTTCTCCCCTCGCTGAGTGAGCGGCACCTGCTGTGTAATACGAAAAAGAGGATTTGTTTAATTAGAAGAGTGATTATCCCATCCATGAAAGACACTCACCACAATTACGTTTATTGAGTTATATGGTCATGGATCTCTGGTGAGTGTGTTCTCCGTTATCTTAACACATCGGGAGTCGGGAGCACTTTATTTCACTGAAGGATAGTTTGCCAAAGCCATCTGTGTTTTAACTGCTCTGATACCAGCTAGTGAATACTGCCGTTCACCTTCACATGGAGCAGCAGCAGAGTACGCGTGACCACTGACACCTGGTTTAGTAAACATAGGCAGGGACGGTAAATATTATTATCAACTGGGCACTTTCTGGTACCTGGGAAGGTTGCAGCAAGAGGCACACTGCAGGACTTTGTGGTGCCAATTCATTTGGTGTTGGAACCTGTCAATTCTG